GCGTCATTTTGACAAAAAGGACGTGTCGCTGCTTGCCCTTGACAAGAGACAGTTATCTATCGTATGCCGGGATACCGGCTTGAAAGAACCCGTGTCCAGGCATGGTACCAGCGGGTTGTTCGGCGAAATCCGGGATTTAACTTCCAGCCTGACGCTGCGGGATCAAGTCACCTGGGCATCGGGACCGGCAGCGGCCAAACTTGGGGGGGCGGAAGTCGGCGGGAAGAGCGACGGGCTGATTGTCAGTCTGGTGGGGATTGGCGTCCCCGAAGGGGATGCAGAAAACTATGAGAAGCTGCTGATTCAGGGGCATTTTATGGTCATTGTGGAATGCAGTAAGGAGCGAAGCATCGAGGCGCAGCATGTTCTTGAGGCCCATCGGTGCGTCGAGACGAGAAAAGAAAAGCGTGTATCGACATAAAAAAAAGGCGATCGAGTACCGATCCCCTTCCGGTCAATAAATGATTCTCCGGCTTAAGTTAACGGCCGTTCCGTATTTTTTGCTGAGGATCTTGGCCTCTTCGGTTACGTAGGCGAGGATATGCTGCAGCCGCTGGGTGGCCGGCCGGATGGTTTCTTTGACTTCTCCGTGGACGATGACGTCAAACACGATCATGAACGAATACCTCCTTATATGCGGGATAAATCCATGATAAAATACAACCATCAGAGAGGAATCAATTTGGATGGAGCGGTTTGTAAACTCTACGGTTTATACTCGCATTACATAAGACGGGTACGATAAGTTGGTAAGGTTTGCGAGAATACCAGTCGGGAGGTTGAGAGAAGTTGGATTCGATTATTAATTTTGCCCACCGGGGCGCATCTGCGGTATGTCCGGAAAATACGATGGCCGCTTTTGCCCGCAGTTTGGAGCTTGGTGCCACAGGGATTGAAACCGATGTTCAGTTAACCGGGGACGGCCGGCTTATCCTGATTCACGACGAAACGTTGTCCCGGACGACAAACGGGAGCGGGTGGGTCAAAGACCATGATCTGGAAGAGTTGAGGAAGCTGGACGCCGGCAGCTGGTTCCATCCCGATTTTGCGGAGGAGCGCCTTCCGCTGCTGGAAGAGCTGCTGGAGCTGGTTCAGGGCACCGGGACCGTCGTCAACATCGAGTTGAAAAATACGAAGGTACCTTATGCAGGGCTTGAGGAAAAGGTCATCGACATGGTAAGAAGCTATAACCTGAGCGAGCGGATCGTCATCTCAAGCTTCAATCACTATTCCCTGCGGCTCTGCAAGCAGCTCGCGCCTGAAATCCGCACCGGCATTTTGTACATGGAGGGACTGTATGAGCCGTGGGAGTATGCCCGCAGCGTTGAAGCTGACGCCCTGCACGCTTACCATTTTGCGGTGCTGCCTGAATTTGTGGCGGGAGCAAAGGCGGCCGGTAAGGTATACCACCCATGGACGGTCAACGAAGAAGAAGAGATGCAGCGTCTTATCGACGCAGGGGCAGCGGGGATCATCACCGACTACCCCGATAAGCTGGCAGCGCTGCTGAGCGCTTCGGTGCGCTCCTAAACAACGATAACCCGATGCCACGGCGGCATCGGGTTATGTTTTGCCCGTAAACGTCTCCAGAACAGTGAGGGAACGCGTCACCCTTGATGATCCGCTGAATCCCCGTTCGACGGATGTTTACCTTTCTTCAATTCCCGCGCCCCTTCTTCCAGCACGTCTTCAATCATGTCCGTGGATGAGGGCGTTTCATGATCGGGATCCGGAATGGGGTCGACCCCGGGGAAACGATCCTCTTCATTCGGTTTATTCATCGCCACACGTCCTTCCAATAGAATCGTTGGTACTTCCATAGTGTGTTCCTTATATGTAAGGATAAACCGTTCCACGCGCCGATGAACCACATTTTCCTGCACCTTACGAGCCAAAAGGTTAATCGTTATATAAAAAATAAAGCCGCCCAGGCAGGGCAGCGAATATTAACGAATATGAATGAGGCGTGACAGATGGCCGACTTCATCCAGCGGAATCCACATGGAGCCATACACCGTCCGCATCTTTAAAGTTCCCGGATCATCGGATTTCTCAGGGATGCCGGTGATGGATTCACCATCCAAATTTTGAACGAATAATTGATGGCCGCGGCGGATTGCCATTTCAATTTCCTTTTCCATGAGACTATTCTCCCGTATCCACATACTGGTAAGACTTTTGTATCAATAACTATCTTTATCATAAGATAATTTTCGTCTGTTGGATAGAGAACGGATGTTTGATTGGTGGGGATATGGACCTAAAATATGAATTTAATTTGAACAGTTGTGCTGAAAAATAAAAAAACCCTCCGTCTGGAGGGGCAGAAAAGAATGCCGAGCAGTTAAATCCGGATGTCTAGACGGTTTCCCAAATGGGGTGCGGCGCTGCTATCCAGCATTTTGACCAGGGATTGACCGTCCTGCGAGGCTTGATCCTTAGCGATTTTAAGCACCTGGATGCTCACATTTTGAGCCAGCCGGGACTGGCTCATGGCCATCGATAAAGCAGGGATATCCATCATAAGCCTCCTCTATGTAAAATGGGTAACATCTATGTTATCGGATTTTCGGTGTGATTTATAAAATAAATGCCGCCCGGGAACCAAGTTCCCGGGCGTGCGATCAGGGAGGTGTCATGCTGATTTCATCCGAAAAATCCGGAATTAATACATGTCTCCACCGAAGTGATCGCGACAGTGGCATCTTTTATGGTGGCGTTTTTTGAAGTGGTGGTGCTGTTTGTGAATCTTATGGCAGGAAACATGCTTTTCTTTGTGAACCTTTTTGATTACAGGTTCCCAGTCCACTTTGACGAATATCGTTTTCTTGATTTCTTTTTTGAGGACGACTGGTTTTGGTTTGCGGACATGGCAGCGATGGCCGTGATCATGTTCGTGGAAAAAGAATTTACCCATTTGGTTACCCCACCTTTGTTGGAAAATGTGAAACCTGAGATATCGTATGTAACGGTTTCCTTCGCAAACACGGCGGAGGTCCAGGTGGGAACAAAATAGATGATTATCTTAACGGGACAGGGCTAAACGTCTGCAGTTAAGTGTGAAAATAACAAAAAACCCTTGAAGCCTTATGCTTCAAGGGTTTCTATAGATGATCTGCAGTGGGCTCGAACCACTGACCCCCACCCTGTCAAGATGGTGCTCTCCCAGCTGAGCTAGCAGATCGTATAAGTCAGATACATTTAATATAATAACAGCGCCGAAGTTAGCTGTCAATCATTTTATTTGGCTCACGGTGAATGGCATGTACAATTTGTTTGCCGCTCATGATTAGAAGCTATCCAAACGGGCGAAAACTAAAGTATATTTCGAAACAGAAGGAGTGGCACGGTATGCTGAACAAAGGCGGGCTGCTCGCGGCAGGGCTGTGCCTGCTGCTTGCCGGATGCTCCCCCGCGGGTGAGTTTTCGGATGCGCAGGAGCCGATCAAGCCCGGTTCAACTATGGCCGACTCACCGATTATGCTGGACGTTTACGGCAAATCGGTCAGCGAGGATGTGTATTCCAAGGGCCCTATTACGCCGCCCTGATTCCTCGTGACAAGACATAGGGCCCGTGCTCCGACTGCACCGGCCCTTGTTTATTTTAGATATAAGAAAGTATTTGCATCGGAGATTCGCTTTCCTTATATCGCAAGAAAAACTTCCGAAAAACGCGGTCTATCTTCCGTGAGTGTTCGTCGATAAACGTTGCTCCTATTCCTCATCCCATTTGCGTGAATACCCTTTTTGGATGACATAAATGAATGAATAGATTAAGATGGCTGATAAAATGACGATCAGCGCAATAGTCATGCCCATAACGATCCATGGTCTCCCTTCCATAGAGCTCTCATGAGTCAACTATACAGGAAAATCATTTTTTTGTATAATGATTCAGCCGTGTTTTTTATATTGATTGCATGAAAGAGAGGGTAACCGATGCCTGCAGAAATAGTATACGTGACGACCCCCGAGCAGCTGGAACATGCGCTGGACATCCGCCAGGAGGTGTTCGTCAAGGAACAAAACGTGCCCGCCGACCTGGAGATCGACGAATACGATGTGATCAGCGAAAATGTTCATCATATCCTCCTTCAGGACAAGGATCAGTATGTGGCCACCGGCCGGATCATTTATTATAACAGCGATACTGCCAAGATGCAGCGAATCGCGGTTCGCCGCGAGTTCCGCACCCACGGGTTCGGCCGCATTTTGCTGATGGCGATGGAAGAGCGGGCGAGGGAACTGGGGCTGGCCTATTCCATCCTGGATGCTCAATGCCAAGCTGAACAGTTTTATGCAAAACAAGGCTATGAGGTCATTTCCAAGGAGCCGTTCGATGACGCGGGCATTCCGCATGTCCGTATGAAGAAAACACTGTAGGCTTCATTTCTTCGCATAAATCCATGTTCTCAGGGAACGATATCCATATGTCACCTTGATATATCATGACAACTTAAGGAGTGGATATCGATGGGAAACCCGGGAAGAGAACAATTTATCGCAGTACAGAAGAACGGTGACGGCGACTTGACGGCCTTTCAAACGTCGTCGGGCCGGGTGCTCGATTACGAGCAGGCGCTGCAGGAAGTAAAGGCGGGCGCCATTGCCGGAGTAAACGTCTTTAAAGGCCGTGACGGCGAGATGTACATCCGCGGGGACGCCGACGGCGATCCGTCGAATAATCTCGATAACCTGCCTACTTTTGAATAGAAGACGAGCGTCATGCTTCCAAAAATAACAGCCGGCTGCAGAGAAGGTTCATCTTTCTGCAGCCGGCTGTGTTTTTTCACCCGTAATCCACATCGACCTGCAAGGGTTACAGCGTATATACGTGCCCTTGCTCAAGGAAGGTCATTTCTCCGGTTTTTCCTACAAACTCGTCTTTATTATCCGCATAATGCATCAATCGGATCATACGCTGAACCGGCTCCGGCAGCGATAGCAGCTCACTGAGCGTCGTATGCACCTCGCCCGGTCCTTCCAGCTGGACCTCGTGCAGGATCGTATCACAGCCGCGTTCCCGTACGAGCTTGTCCAGCAGCACGGGGTCGAAGGTCATGTCCGCGCTGTAGAAGATCCGGCCGTTAATATAGAGGGAAAAGCTGTCTTTGCCCGGAATGTGACGGTTCGGGATAAGCTCCAGCTCGATTTGCTCCGACAGACGGC